CTATATCTTTATTGCATGTGACCACCTAGATTATCAGCAGCTTGAAGACTTAATTCTAACTAAAATGGCTATTATGAAGGCCTTTCTATTAAAGGTGATGAATATTTTTTTATAGCCTGGTTAGATTTAAATAAAGCTCATTTTCATAATCTATTTTCTTAAGTATTTTGAGTGCTTTTCTCAATCATTCAAATAGAAGACTAAGGTAATATGTTTATTGATTTGGCTCCAGTCCTCTTTTAATTTACAGATTTCGTCTTACTCCAAATAACGTACCTAGTTATCATTGCCCTTTTCCTTGGGTACATTACCAAGAATTTCACCTGCATCGTATTCACGATTTTTATCTTATGTACATGGTAGCTCTGAGTGTAAATCGTAAAAATGGCGTGAAGCATATTTTCAAATCCCTTGAAAGTGAAATCATTTCGAATTCTTTAATTTTGATCTTAAAATTGAGCGTTTCAATTGCCAAGCTTTCTCTGAATGTCAGGACACCAAATGGATCATTCATGTTTGTTCGCATATATTATAATCCTTTCATTTCACAAAGTATGTTTTCTTCGCTCAATATTTTATCATTTGAGGCAATAGATTTATATCATTGATCCTCGCCTAAACGCTTCTTAATATCCAGATGATTTTTAAAATCCTATATTGATTATGCTTTGATAATACCAGTATAGCGTAGTGGTAACATGTCGAAATTACATCCTGAGCTACTTCGTTTCGATTTTCTTTAAGGGTGCTGATTAAACCCACCCTGGAATAGAATACCTTTTGGAAGACAAGGCTAGGTCAAATTCACTGGCATTGGGAGGCCTGTCCTATCATCGTAGGAAAATCCGTTTATTAGCCCTTATGTAACTGGATAACTCGAGTTCTATTTCTACTTATACATTAAATATGCATTATGCAAACATTAGTGAAGCTTAAGGACAATGCGAGTGGCTACACTATACTAATACCTGATCCTAGTACTCTCGATTTATTCGGACTAATTGCCTTATTTCGATGTTTTTAATCCTCTACCTCAATTTTAATTAGTCGGAAGAAGAAGAAGAAACTGCTCGCCGAAAACGCGAACAGGAGGCCGCTGCTGCTCTACCCGCTCAAGATGACGACGACGATGATGAATGTCATTCCATCTCTGCCAGTCATTGTGATGTTCTAGGCGATGTCAGCAATTCTGGTGATCCGCCATCCTCTTGCTTGGGCGCAGATGGCACTGAGAACAGCTGTCCGGGCAGTGCTAGTGGAAGCGGGGTAAATGGAGATGATGCTTCTTCTGAGGCTGCCACTTCTAGTGGTGGTCCAGGGAGCAATAAGAAACCAGCAGGGAAGAAAAAGTCCAAGAAGCGCAAGCTTAAACGTAATACCTCTTTGATCACTTCAAGCAGCTCTAGTGTGGGAAAGCGGAAGCGGGTTGGCCAAGCTGGCTGTGGACCTGGTGGCTGTCAAAGTGGGATGGGTCAATCATCCAATGATATGACTACTGAATTTTCTCGTAAAGCCTATGAAATGATGGAAAAACATCGGGACAACTTCTTTGTAATCCGTTTGTACGCACATAGTCTCATAAACACTCTACCTGATATCAAGGATCCGGATCCTTTGATAAATTGTGAACTGATGGAAACGCGAGACATGTTCCTAGAGAAAGCTAGAGAAAAGCATCTTGAGTTTTCTAGTCTTCGTCGAGCAAAGTATGCCACACTGGCCATGCTCTACGAATTGCACAATGATGGTCGACAAACATTTGAATACACTTGTAATGTTTGCTCACAACCAATTGACGTTCGTTGGCACTGTAAGACCTGTGATGAATACGATCTTTGCATGACTTGTTACGAGAGGGAGCAGCATCCACATCCAATGGTAAAGGTTGTTCCTGGCCAAGTTGGTGGGGATGTTTCCAGCGCCGCTCGCGATGGAGAGGGTGACATGCAAGAATCAGGTCGGGATAAATGCGAGCGCTTGGTTAAGGCACTGGTTCATTGCTGTTCATGTCGTGATGCAAATTGTCGCGTAAATCTCTGCTATCGCATGAAAGCTATGACTCACCACTTCAAAACTCACCGCTCTACACAACAATGTAGTCCATGCCGCCAGATATGGATGATCTGCTGTTTTCACTCGAAGACATGTCAAGATGCCAAGTGTCGAGTTATTTTCTGCCATCTCTTGAAAGCGAAGATCAAGCAGCAGCAACAGCAGCAACGCTTACAGCAAACACAAATGCTTCGGCGCCGAATGGCTACAATGCAGCGCAGCAACAGTAATCAGAGTACATCTGCTACTCCTGGGGCTACAGGCTCTAGTACAGTTCCGGGTCAGACTACTCCTACAAATTCATGCATGAACGTTTCACCAGTGTCTCTACAGGTGGGTCATCAGACCTCGGCTTTTGCTTCTGGTCCCTCGTCAGCTGCAAATACACCTCAGCCATCTAGCTCCCAAACACCTCTGGGATTGAACGTTGGCATGCAGCAATCTCCCTCTACACCAACTCCAAGCACAACACCTTCTTTTCTTTCTTCCATCCAATCGAGCCAGAGTCACATGTCTTATCATCACCAATCCAATCAACCTGTTTCGTCCGTCGCCTCGTCCGCTTCCTCTCCTGCTTGCTCTGGTATGATATCTAGCCCTTATCAGGCTCAGCAACACTCTGGAAAACCACTAGTATTTACTAATGCAGTGGTTGGCTCGAACGCAGGTGTTCAACATCAGCATTCCCAGCAGCATCAGTCGCTGCTTCTTCAATCTATTTCTCCACAACATCAGCAACAGTCACAACAACTTCCAACTCAACAACAACAACAACAGCCTCATTCGCTTCATCATAATTCAAACTATATTGGGGGAGTTGGAATCAGCGGGCCTAGTGGCGATGCTGTAAACGGATCTTGTGGTATAGGAAAATCTGTCATTAGTCCCCTGCCTAATGTGACTGGAGGGATGCATATTCAATCACTGCCCCAACAACAGCTGACTCAACAAGCAATTAATCAAATGCATTCGTTGCCTCCAAATCTTCAGACTAACCAGCAGCAACAACAAGCCGTCCAGCAGCAACAGCAAGCCATCCAGCAGCAACAGCAAGCCATCCAGCAGCAACATTACCTTCAACAACCTCCCTCATCTCAGAGTGGGTATGGGCAATCTCAGGCACATCTAAGAATTCCTGCTCCTCAGGCATACACGCCTGGGTTGACCCAACAGTCGTCTGGGCAAATACAACGAGTCCCCATGCTTTCGCAGGCGCAAACTCATAATGCCTCTATTCAGCAACAGCAGCAGCATCTGCATCAACAA